CCCGGAGAGACACCACCCGCTGGATGCGAGGGGCCCTGGACCTTTGGGGTGCTTTGTGTTTGCTCGGTCCACGGGACAGTGAGAGGAAGTCAGTGTGACGCTGTTCTCCAAACCTGTGTTTTGAAAGCAGCCGTGAACGGAATCGTGCACGACGTGGACGAGCTTGGCGCCGGGATCCGGCTGGTGAGCCTGCTGGTGGACCGGGCCGGGCTGTACAAGATGAGCCGCCTCTACATCACTCCCGACGGCTTCTTCTTCCGAGTCCACCTACTGGCCCTGGACTCCTCCAGCTGCAGTAAGCCCTGTCCAGAGTTTAAACCCGGTAATGAAACTGCCCTAAATAACCTCTTCTTGGATTATTACTTTGTGTCAGCGTTTGGAACCTGGGTGCCGGAGGAGTGCAGCTGCGGTTGGTGGCCATTGCACTGTTTGGGGGCGTTCGGCGCAGAACGGGGTCCGGAGCTCAGGTATCCCGGCCCCTCCCCGAGGTGAGATCGGCAGGGATTGGCACGCAGCAGGCGCTCAGCGAGTTTCGTGGCGCGAACGCCGCACGTTGCCAGGGTAAATCAGGGCTTCGGTACCGAAACCGAGAAGCCCTTTTGTGGCTCGCGGGTGAATATCTGCTCGACTCTTCTAGATTAGGACCTCTGTTCTGTAACGTTGCCTGTGGGTTGTTTCGGTATGTGTGGCAAGACGATTTGAGTTCAGGCATGTCTTAAGGTTCTCACGTATGTCTCCTGGCACTTCAGTGACACTGTTTTTGGTTACTTTATTCAGGCAGCAGGTACATTGTGATGGGTCACATCTACCACAAGAGACGCCAGCTCCCCACAGCTCTGCTCCAGGTCCTGAGAGGGCGCCTGCGTCCAGGAGACGGACTGGTCAGGAGCAGCAGCAGCTATGTCAAAAGGTTTAACAGGAAAAGGGACCGGCAGGTTCAAGGTGCAGTTCACACCCAGTGCGCCTGAAACACTCCGTCCTGGCACGGAAGGATCGCAAGACTTGGAATTCAGCGATAAGACCAGAAGGGTTTATACTCATGTAATGGGGTCTTCCTTTAAAACTGGGCTCACAGCTCCGTTATGAACAACCTGTACAGTTCCAACTCTAATCTCGATGTCACTTTTTTTGAATCTACAAGATGCTTCTTAAATGGCATGTTCCTGAGCTCAGTGGCAGTTACTGAACTGTACTGCCTGGCAGAGTGACTCACGCAGCTCAGATCACTTGACCTGTCCAGTGAACAGATCACTGCTTCACGTTAAATTTTTAAATTATTTTAATTTAACACATTCTTCAGTAGAGAGTTCACAAAAATTTTTGAGTTTAAATATACAACTTTGAATAGTTTATATCAGGATCAAACCACACTTTATATTTAAACCATCACATTTTAAATTCTGTACATAATAAGCACACTAGTCAAAAGATATTTACATAAGAAATATCATTTAGACCAAACACTAAGGTCAGTGCCCAGGACAACTATTAAAAATTTACATTTAAAGAGTACCAAAGGGCTTAATTCAAGCAAAAGATTTTTCAAAGTGTTCCTGATGTACCAAAATGTAAGATATTTTCATACTTTCCTGCTTCTAATAACTTGTGTTTTGTGTCAACCTAGCAGTGTATTTCAATGCTAAACATACTGTGGGTGTATCTGATGTCATTTTTCTATTAAGACCAAGTATCATGTTTGTATTTGTAAAAGCAGTAAACCTTGCTTTGAAATTAGATCTTGGATGCATTTTGTCTCACTGAACCTAAAGATTTGAGAAAAGGCTTTTCTCAAACATGCGCCCCATACTTGAGTTCACAAAGATGTCACAATTTTTCAGATTAAGCTGTACTTCAGTGGATTTTTTTGGTCCTGGGAATCAAACTCAGGATCTTGTGCTTGCAAGGCAGGTGCAGCACCACTGAGCTAAATCCCTGGCACTGTAGTTCAGTTAATCAGAAGCACCATGAACAGAGACACCAAGAATTTGTGATTACTGTTTTTTTGGGGGGGCACTGGGGGATGGGACTTGGGACCTTGCACTTGCGAGGCAGGCGGCAGCATCACTGAGCTAAATCCCTGGCCCCAGAATTTGTGAATATTATCAAAAGACAGTAAGCAGCCCATTTGGAGTTGTGGTGAGGGGCTCTGGGAGCTCACAATGTGTCTTCAGTTACAAATGGAACACAGAAGCATGTGTCTAAGGACGTTCAGGGTGAGGCACAACAATTGTCAGGAAAGCAAGTGGCAAGAGCGTAAGACATCGTAATGTGACCCTATTTCATCTTTTGCCTCAAGCATGGAGGGTAAAGTTGAGAAGTTTTATTCTCTAGCAGACCATTTCTAAAGGACTCATCTAATGTTCCAGAAATTAGTTTTTCCTAAATTTATTTCTCATGTGCAAGGTCTCAAACACTGGTACCAAAGAAGAGAGAGAGAGAGAGAGAGACAGAGAGAGAGAGAGAGAGAGAGAGAGAAAGAGGGAGGGAAAGAGGGAGGGAGGGAGAGACAGACAGAGAGGAGACAGAAGAGAGGAGAGGAGAGAGGGAAAGGGAGAGAGAGCGAGAGAGTATTACCAGTAATCTCAGCTACAAGGGAAGCCAAGGCAGGAGGATTCCAAGTTCAAGGCCAGTCTGGACAACTTACCGAGATCCGTTTCAAAATAAAAAGGGCTGGGGATGTAGCTCAGTGGTAGAATGCCCATCATGCTTTGAGGCCCTGGGTCTGAACCCCAGTAGTGTTTGAAATTTTTTTTATAATCAGCTGTTGTTACATAAACTACTGGCAGAGTATACAGCTAATGAAGAGCTGTTTTCTTTTTTCCTTTTTTTTTTTTTTTTTTTTTTGTACTGGAGATCGAACTCAGGACCTTGTGCTTGCAAGGCAGATGGTGGCAGCACCAATGAGCTAAACCTCCATTTTTTATTTTGAAGTACGATCTTGCTAAGTCACCCAACCTGTGCTCACACACACACACACGAGCCATCTTGCTTCAGCCTCCCAGAGTGCTGAGATTACAGGTGTGCACCACCACGTACAGCTAGGGTTAAGACAAAATTAAGGCAGGCACAGAAGCACATGCTTGTGATTCCATCACTCTGGGAGGCTGAGCCAGGAGGATCCATTAAATCAGAGCCAAGTCTGGAAAACTTGGTGACACTTTTCAAAATATAAACTAAAAAGGGCTGGGGATATAACTTAGTGAAGGTCCTGGGTTCAACCCCCAGTCTCCCCGCAACCCTAAACATGAGGGCTGGGGATTTAGCTCAGCAGCACCTTACTTGTCTCGCAACTGCAGTGCAAAACCACAAGGTCCTGAGTTCAATCCCCAGCACACTTTCACACAAAAAAGGGGAAAGATGCCCTAGTCAGATTTTATTTAATTTTTTATTTTTGTTTTTTTGAGACAGGGTCTCACTATGTAGTTGAGACTGACCTGGAACTCACTGTGTAGCCCAGGCTGGTCTCAAACTCACAGCGATCCTCCTGCCTCAGCCTTCCGAGTGCTGGGATTACAGGCGTGCACCACCACACCCGGTTCTAGTAAGATTTTAAAGCATAGACTATAAATGGGTCTAGACACTTTCACATAAAGGTTGGATGTAGAATGGTTTGATAATAGTACTACTTGTGAAAAAATTTGAAACATTAAAAAATGCCAGAGTCCTGATATTTGTGATACTTGGAACTTACATGGTGACTACACATGGCCACAAACACATGCAGGGCAGGTTCTTAAACAACTGCCGGGATAAAGATGAACACCATTGTACAAATCCAGGTCTTGCCAGGGCATGGTGGCACATGCCTGTAATCCCAGCACTGAGTTCCAGGTCAGTCTCAACCACATAGTGAGACCCTGTCTCAAACAACCAACCAACCAACCAAACAACCAAACAAAACCAAAACACCAAATCCAGGTCTGCAAGGCAAGAACAGTCAGGCTCAAGTGAGGTAGAACAGAAGAGAGCTGAAGAAGTGAACAGAAGACAATGGAGAACAGACTGGTAATTTCAGACTGGGCAAAACAAAGCAAAGGAATGGGTAAGAAACCTCCTTTTCCTTTTTTGGGTGGGCGGGGGGCAAAACCAGGAATAGAACTCAGGACACTTGTGCTTGCCAGGTAGGTGCGGTGCCCCTGAGCTACATTCCTAGCTCAAAAAAAGCTCATTTTCAGTATTCAGGACCTTAGACACAATCTTTAATTCTACTGAATAGTTTAATGAGCAAATTCATTATAGTTTCAAATCCCTTTGTCTTACTTTCTTAGCACATGGATGTGTGCTGTAAAGATGAGACCTTTAGTGCCTATATAAACACATTAACAGTCCCTCAATAAAACTTTGTTGCCTTGAAGAGCAATTCACTAGCATCCCATCTTCTCATTAAAGCTGTCACTGCGTGCAGTAACACCATTTGCCACGGTTCATTCTCCAGAATCGTCTGGAAAGCATACATACATGAAAACACTGATTTGCCACCTACAGCACTTAGCCTCAATTTCAGTACACGTAAAATACAAGTTGGATAAAGCAGGACTTGATCATTTTATGGCTTTACATCTTTTTTTTTTTGGTACCGGGGATCTAACTCAGGACCTTGCACTTCTTCTGAGGCAGGTGGTGGAACCACTGAGCTAAATCCCCGGCCCTGGATTTGATCATTTGAAAAACACAGTTTAGCGGGCCAGGGATTTAGCTCAGTGGTTCCACCACCTGCCTCACAAGCTCAAGATCCTGAGTTCAATCCATGGTACAAACAAAATAGCTCAGTGGTTCCACCACCTGCCTCACAAGCTCAAGATCCTGAGTTCAATCCATGGTACAAACAAAAACAAAAACAAAAACAAAAACAAAAAAAACCCCAAAACAACAACAAAAAAACCACAACTTAGGGTTGGGTAAGATTTAGCTCAGTGGTGCCACCTGCTGTGCAAACACAAGGACCCAAATTGGATCCCCAGTACTAACCACCCCACAAAAACCAAAACAAGACAAGCAAAAAAACACAGCTTACTTCTTTAGCTGAATTTGGTTCAAACTGGATCAAGTGGTGTGATCTTCTGGGCAATATTTTTTGGTATCTCATTCTAAGTATCTATAATTCCTTCACTATTTCAGATTATTAAAAGCATTCATTCCTCAGCTAATCCTTTCTCCCAGAAGTGTCCCAAAGCCATTATTTTGCCCATGAGATATTCTCATTTTAAGGCCAAGAAGCCCAAGACTTCTAGGGAAGAGCCTCAATCGCAGAAGACTGAATGCTGTAGAGCTCTAGCCATCGTGAATCTGCAGGTGTGTGGAGATTTTAAAAGGGTCCCAGGTTGGCTCTGTAATGTCAGAAACACAACAAAGAAGCCAGGAGTTTGCCTAATAGAAATGAATAGAAATAGGGAAAGAACTTTTATTCGTAGATTCTAGAAGGTAGGTTACAAACAAGAGCACATCTCAAGGTCTAACACTCCAGGCCACTTGTAGTATAAAAAGGTAATTAAATGTTCCCGTTAGAAAATATTTCCAAAATTTACACAATTTTTTAAAAAACCTACTGCAGGTTAAATACAAACCCTGCAGAATTTGGCTAGGAAAAAAAGCCTTATCAATATTAAGAAAATAGTTTTTATGATCTCAAGGATTGTGAACTTAGCCGATAAAGCATAACAAACACTGAAAATACTTTAGCCTAAGAAATCTATTTACGCAAGTTAAGTATATTTACAGGCCCAAAGACTGGAGTAGAAACATCCTCATAGTATCACGAATGTGCATTATACCACTTGGATTACTGAAAGCAAAATAGCTTAATATCTTATTGAATAGGAGCTTGTCAAAGGATACTAATAGAAAAGCAGCTTTTGAAATAAGAATGTTTTTCAAAAATTACTTTTGAAAGACTAAAGCTCTATAGTTGATAAAAACTATAAAATGTTTTTATGTATTTCTAGGGTGATAACAGTTGCAAAAAATGTCATACCATTTAAATACACATATGAAATTAACATCTTCCTGGTCTCAGGATTTACATAAAATTTATCTAGTTTGTACAATATGACAATGCCAACAGCTTCAGAAAATAACCAACCATTGTTTCATTAGAAACTGCACCAAATCCAATGTCAAATACATTATTTTATTTTTCTAGGATGAAATGTCCTATTAAGGTACAAAAAGAATTACTGTTTAGAATTTGCCACAATTTGTTAAAAACATAGCAATCTACTGCCTACAGCTAGGAAAGTTCTTGCCGTAACAAGTTTTAAATGAGTAAACCCATTTATATTTATATATATGAATAAGTCGTACAGAAATACTGTGATGTGATGAGATGCAGAATCATTATAATTTGTTAAAATGTAGAATTCTTGCAGCAGCACAGTGCATACAATATGTAACATTTTTTTAAAAACTAAAGGACAAAATAACCTGTATTTAACTACTTCCATTTTAATATTTTAAGCAAAAACTTTGTTTCCATATTGAGCAATTAGTCTTTTTAGTTTGTAAGCATAGGTTTAAGTGACATCTTTATGTACAAAAAGGAATGGGCTCCATTACATAAAATTAACCCAGACAGAAGAACCTACACACCTGAGCCTGTAATAAGAAAGAATTAGGAACTATAGCAACATCTTTCTTTTTAGAAACTAAGGTCTGGGAAAGGTTTTGCATAGCAGGACAACACTGAACAGAAGGAAACTTTTAAAAAACAATTAGGTGAATTTCAGAACTTGGTAGGCCAAAGCTGATATGAATTAGTGCAAAATCTAGGGAAATTTTTGCAAAGCTGCTTAATCTAACTGTGGCAGATCTCAGAGAAGCCATTATTGCAACACAGTAATACAATGTGGACAGTTAGAACACCAAAAGGAAAACCACGCAAAATACACCTTCCTTTGCTGTTTCCTTTGTCTCCCCACTGTTTATGCTACTAGGATGAAAACTAATCCAACCAAGAAAAAATTCACAGAGGATGAGATAATCTTAAAAATGTCCTTCATACGAATTCAGTAGCTGTCCTAACTGTTCATCTGCCTAGAATCCCAGAAAGTACAACTGAGGGCGATGTGACTGTGTTCTACTACCATCATCACTGGTTCCATCAATCGATCAACCAATGTAACAGCGTTAGCATCCCTGGAGATTTTTGCTGACGTGGTAACAATGGACTGGGAATTATACTACAAAGGGCCACTACTGTCCTGAAAAATCCGGGTCTGATCAGACCCTTCTGCCTTTTAGCCCGGGAACCCCCTCCCTTCCCCACAGAGGCTGACAGATAACCATTAGCGCACAAAGACACCTCCATCTGTGGGAGAAAAATTATCTCCATTTATTTTGTTTCATATACATCCATAGTTGAATTTTAATACAAAAAGAAAAAAATTAGAATCTGACAAATGTTTACAAACAAGATACCTTCAAATAGATTTTGTCATTTTAGCCTGGTGCAGAGGAAAAGACAACTGTACTGATATATTCAAGGCAACAGAGTCTGTACTCCAGGATCGCTTAGCCCAACCTTTCTGCAAGCTTAATTTTTGTCTACCACGAACAATAAACTCATTGTTGATTCCCAGTTGTGTGTGTGTGTGCACGTGTGTACATAGCAGCTCCTTTCATAGAAAGAAAAGACATCTAGAGGTCATCTTGTATTTTACCTACAGGAATCATGATAAGATACAGGATGGATTACATGTAACTGAGGCTGGATTTTATAAGAAAAAATAATTAGCTGACAAATGAGGGCAGCAATAAAAAAGCGTCTTTTTTGCAACAATAAATAAATACAGTCAAAAGTTTTCTGTGAGACTCTAAACCAGCTTCTTCACTGAAGAGCAGACGTGGCATTTCCATGGAGTTACACTTGACCCCATAGTATCTTTTTTCTTGCTTTTTCTTTTTTTTTTCAATAAACAAAGTTTTCCCGCTTCTGCCACAATAGTAAAACCATTTGATCTTGAGAGATAATGGTGTCGTTGACTTTGCTTTTCCCTTGTCCGTTGGACAAAATTGGCCAAGAATATATTTAGACTGTTATGACCAATAAAAATGAAGTTTAGGTCAAGTCTTGTCAGGATAACCTGACTAAAAACATCTGGCTCCTTAATTTAAAATAGTTCAGACAACCAGATTCTTGCTGTATTTTATGTTAACACGCTGAACTTTAAGAAGCTGTAGACTGCAGTTTGTTGTTATGAGACCTACAGAATACAGAAAAAAGGGAACAATTAAGCACCCTTCATTTTTTAAAACAACGATGCTTTATGTGGATGCCAAGGTCAGCCAGTCTGGGGGGAAGCAGCCATGTTCTTTCATTCATCCTTGGCAAGCAAATCTAAGAGAACAATTAAATTTTTAGCTTAAAATGTTAAACCTTTTCACTGTACACTAACATGATAGATCACTGGAAAAAAACCAGTATTTAAAAAAAAAAATATATATATGTTTGTCCAATAAAGATTACAACATTCCTAACCAACGGGACAAGTATGTTTGTCCAATAAAGATTACAACATTCCTAACCAACGGGACAAGTAGAGACATTTACAGAAGCATTACCACTGCATAAAAGATGTGCACCTGTTTATTTACAGTGATTTGGGAAATATGAAGGGAAACATTATATTAAAAGAGGAATAACAATATTAAAAGAACATTTTTATATTAAAGCCCAAGAAACTCTTTCTAGTTTCACAGTTTTATTCACAACTTTCATTAGTAAACCAAATTACTGTACAGTTATCAGGACTAAGTCAAAATACTTTATATTGTAGTAGTAGATAAATACAGTATTGCAAGAGTATACAATTTTTAAATATATTGTTCAACATGGCTGCTATAATAAATTTTCTGCCAATATACATCTTTTTAACATTAAATTTATATTAACTAATCTTAGTTTTTTTGGGGGGGACAATTTTGAATGAGATAACCATGTGGTATAATAAACAGTGACCCCAATATCCAGTTCTGATTCCAGTTAAAAATTCAGACTAAAGATATCACAATCTGTAAAAGAAAGAATATGGATGGTATAAATGATGAATCTTAACAAAATACAGTAATGAAAATAATGTACAAACAATACTGGAGATCATAAATTAAAAATGGGGAAATATGGCAAAGGAAATAACTAGTTTCAGTGACTGGCTATTTAATGTTTCATTCTGCCTTAAACCTGGAAATATCAGACATTCTCTAAAAAGTCAAGGAGATGCTTTTTTTTTTTTGGTACCAGAGACTGAACTCAGGACCTTGTGCTTGCGAGGCAGGCAGCCGAACCACTGAGAAAAATCCCCAGCCCCAGGGAGTTGCTTTTATGTAACTCCTGCCACTGCGATTTATTTAAGCACAATTGAGCAAACGTCTCTGTTTATCTTCCATGTTCTTGGAATGAAAATTATAGAAACTTGAGTATATAAGAAGCTACATAAAATAGGTGGCAAGAAGTCCTAAGTGGCTTCTTTGGCCTGGGGGTGTAGCACTGAGACTCCTTAGCACACAAGAGATCCAGTGTTCAATCCCCAGCAGTAACCGCAGTCCCCAGAGCGTGAAGTGGCCAGTCTGGTGCACAGACCCAGCGGCTGGGCCCCCGCCTCCCTTCTCAAATTCCTTTGTCTTGCGCAAGCCCTAGGAACGACAGAGGGTTTTCCTTGCTTTCATCAGCAGCTGCCACCACTCACCCTTGGCACAAATCAGAAAGTGCAAAGCGACATGTAGTGAGAGAGTGTGTGCTTGTGTCTTTTTTCATTCAACCTAAAGTCCAGGACCCCTGAGATCAAGTATTTTCACTTTCAGTTTTTTGGACAGATTTCTTATACTGTCATTTCTTGTTTTACCAATTTTAAGTTGTTTAAACCCTGCTGTGGCAAATGAAAACTGGGCTCATTTGACTATTTTCCCACCTCTCATTTTTGAGTTACAGTTTTATTTCCTTATAACTTAAAATTATGTTTTTATGCTTTGTCTACAAGTTGATTCTAAAAACTGAAGATTGATGTTATTGATGTAACAATGTAAAATTTTTCTCCATAGCACCTAAGAAGGAATTTATGTATACCTTTTTACTTTTTGTGGAGTTTGTCTTTTGTTTTTGTTTTTGGTACTGGGGATCAAACTTGGAACCTTGTGCTTGCGAGGCAGGTGGCAGAACCACTGAGGTAAATCCCCGGCTCAAGTTTGTCTTTTCTGATTCCTTGAGCTCGTTGGTTTAATCACTGTCTTATGTTTTTCCATATTAACCAAATCACCTAATGTAAGAATCACTGTGCTTTAGGAGAACTTCTGCTTCCACTCCAATTTGGAGAGCCCACTGGTAGGACCGCTCTATAAATGTAACCCCAGGTGAGTGCAATTTTCATTACTTTTTGCTTCCTGGACCTAAGGTCTTATTTCTCTATTTGCTTCCTTATTTTTGCTACAGCACATATCTTATGACAACTTGCCAAGAAAGGATGACCTTTCCTTACATTCAAAAACTTAAGTGCCTCTACACTTGTTTGGCTTTATGCAGATATTCAGCTGAGAAAAAAAACTTTCCCTGAACACGTGGAGCGTTCCACTGAGCTACACCCCTGGTCCCGAACATCCATTCTTACACCTGGTGTGGAATTCCTTAGAAACACACAGAGGCCCAGGCCCCAACCTAGCCAAAGTCTACCCAATCTGAATGCCTCTGGATAAGTGAACTCATGGGTTGGTGGACTGGGTATGGTGAGTAATTAATTCAAGGTTAAAGAATGATGGTAATTATCACAGAAAAGGAAACCAGGCTTTTATGAGAAGAAAGAAAATCATGGATTTGAGAAGGGGGCTCAAGTTCAGAAACAGAAGGGCACAAAGGTCACAGTAACTACACTTCATGCAAAGTTACTCAGTACTTTGATATCACCAGATATCCAAGGAAAAGGCCTATGCATTTATAGTCTGGCTTTGCCTACAGAACATGTACACAGAAAAACAGACACTTTACAACTTCAAAGACAGAGCACACTGGAATCAATGTGAAGTACCTAAATCCCCTCCTTTCTGGTCTCCCCCCAAGGGTGGCCATCCTCCATTTCTTCATCCCCTACAGGATGCAAACTGAAGGAGGCAAGAGGTCTCGCTGCTGGTGTCCATGCACCACAGCACTTCAGACAGCACCTGGCCTGTGCGAGCGTTCAACAGGGGCTCTCGGAATTTTAAAAAAGGATTTAAATTCTAAGACAAAGGCCTGGCAAAAGCAGACCCAGTAACTCCTCATTAGTGAGCCTCTCTCCACTCGTCCCTGTTAGTACATCATAATACCAGTCTTAAATTTCTGGTTCAGATTTACCACATACTTCACTGTCTGATTCCTCAGATAAGACAGGGAAAGTTTAAGGAGCAAAATTAATTCAGAACATTGAACACATTTGCTCACCTGCTAGCCTTGAATCCTTTCAATTTCTGTACAAAGAATGATTCAAGAACTTCTGCACACTGGTAAAAAGGGGAGTCACTTGGATTGTAGTAACGACAGTTATCAAAAATTTTGGTCATATCTGCCACAAATTCTGTCAGCTTTTCATAATATCGCCTTTGTACTCTTTCTTCCATGGTGGCAAGGTCTTAAAAACACAAAATGTAAAACATTTTCAGAGCTTTAATGTTTTCCAGTAAATACATCCTGCAATTTTGACTATTATACGTATTTACAGTCCTGGAACCACGCGCCTTTACCACTGGAGACTCATGTACTTCATGAAGAACATACTATCACTTTTCCTACTTTTTTTTGGTACCAGGGATCGAACTCAGGACCTTGCGCTTGCGAGGCAGGCGGTGGCACCACTGAGCTAAATCCCCAGCCACAACTTTGTTTTGTATTTTAAAAATTTTTTTAAATTTTTATTTTTTTGGTACTGGGGATCAAACTCATGGGCAGGCACAGTGCCACTAAGCTAAACGCCCAGTCGCCACCTTTTTTTTTTGGTACCAGGGATTGAACTCGGGACCTTGTGCTTGCAAGGCAGGCAGCAGAACCACTGAGCTAAATCCCTGGCCCTGATAACTGATTTGTTAACAGGCTAGCGTTATAATTTTTAATTTTATTAATTTGGATATTGAAAAGTGTTTGACTTCGTGTATCTTCACTAGTTTGAATTTTTTCCGTGGGAGTCTCCTATTCATATACTTTGCTCACTTTTGTCTTGGAATAGTCATATTATTGTCATTGTTATTTAAGGGCAATTAATGTATTAACAATAATTTAAAGTTGTGGGGGGGTTACTGGGATGCAGCACAGGGGTGCTCTACCACTGAGGTTTATCTCTAGTCCTACTTATTAACTTTATTTAATAAAATAAATGAGGCCAGGCCTGAACGTGTAATCTTTCTGCCTCGGTCCCCCAAGTGTGGGACTATAGGTCTGCAATAGCTTGCCCAGCAAATTTAAGCTTTTATAGTGATTATTTTTGTTATACAGTAGTTGGTAGTGGTAAATGTTACACCTTACACCTTGGTGATATCTACATTTGTACATCAAACATATTACATTTGAAATATTTTCACAGACTAAAAAAAAATTACCCTTAAAAAAGTGATAATTCCCAGCTATTTATTTATTTGTTTTTGTTTTTTTTAAAGACAAGGTCTCACTATGTAGTTGAGACTGACCTGGAACTCACTATGTAGCCCAGGCTGGTCTCAAACTCACAGATCCTCCTGCCTCAGCCTCCCAAGTGCTGGGATTACAGGCGTGCGCCACCACGACCAGCAAGTTATTTATTTTTGCAATCCTGGGACTTGAATCCAGGGCCTCACACAAGGTAAGCAAGCACTGTACCACTGGGTTATATCCACAACTCCTTCAGTCTGAGTGCAGAAGAAAGGATATAGACATATACGTCCTACTAGTGGGAACTGATTCAGATTACTGAAGTATAATTTGAAAGTATTTTCTTTAAGCCAGAAATTCTAACTCTAGAAATTTTTTTCTAAGCAAACAAGTGCAGGTAGATGCCTGAACCAAAGATGTTCACTGCCATGTTGGCAGTACTAGCAAAAACTGCAAAGAAACTTTAAAAACTCTTTTAATGATTAAATAAATGAGTTAAATAAATAATGAGTTATAGTGTTCTAGTTTTATTCAATTAAAATTGTTGCATAGCATGGGTAAGGCCTGCATTCCATCCATAGCATACAAAACAAAATAACATAGGTCGATAACACACCTGATATGCTTGCAGGGGATTGCTTTTGGCACTGGTGATCAAACTGAGGACCTTGCGCTTGCAAGGAAGGCACGGCACCACTGAGGTAAATCCCTGGTCCTACTGTGGTTTTAACAAAAGCAGGGGGAAAAAAAAAAAAAGGCCCGGGGATTTGGCTTAGTGCTTCCAGAGTCTGCCTCACAAGCACAAGGACCAGAGCTCGATCCCCTGTACCAAAGAGGGGTGGGGGTGGGGGTGGTGGGCAGATTTAGCTCACTGGTTCCACCGCCTGCTTCAAAAGCAGAAGGTCCTAAATTCAATCCCTGCTACAAAAAAGAAGAAAGAGAGCCAGGGATTTAGCTCAGTGGTTCTGCTGCCTGCCTTGCAAGCACAAGGTCCTGAGTTCAATCCCTGGTACCGTACTAAACCAAACCAAACCAAACAAACAAACAAAAAAATCTAGCTTGTTAAGGAAAGGATTTTGAGGGGGGAAAAAAAAAGAAAAGAAAAGGATTTTGGGCTGGGGATGTACCTCAGAGGAACCATGCCTGCCTGGCAAGCACGAGGTCCTGAGTTTGATCCCTGTTACCGAAAAAAAGAAAAAAAAAAAAAAAAAAAAAGAATTTTGGTTAAAAAGTGCAGATATATTCAATTACTAAACCCTCTCTCTCTGTCTTTCTTTCTTTCTTTTTGGTACCAGGGATTGCTCAGGACCTTGCGCTTGCGAGGCAGGTGCAGATCCCCCTGAGCTACATCCCCAGCCCTGAAATCATTTTTTGAAGATGACCGAAACAGGGAAATATTTGCATTTACCACCCTGTCTCAATTTGCTTTTTCCATCTCAATTTTAATAAGCATAGGAGAATAGCAAAAATCACAGCTCTCTCTATGGAAGAGGCTTCTTGATTCAATGAAGAAAGGGTACTTCAGGCTTTTTTTTTTTTTTTTTGGAATGAAGGATTGAATTCAGGACCTCATGCTTGCCAGGCAGGTACGGTGCCACTGAGCTAAATCCCTGGCCAAGAAAAGGTAAAAGGTGCCTTTATCTTCTCTCTCTCTTTTTTTTTTTTTTTGATTTTGCTTTTTGGTACTGTGGATTGAACTCAGGACCCTTGTGTTTGTGAGGTAGGTGCAGTGCCACTGAGCTAAATTCCCAGCTTTTATCTTCTCTTTCTTTATTTCCTAAATTTTCTACAAAAGCATTATTATTATTATTATTTTTGTTTTATTATTTTTGGTACCAGGGATCGAACTCACGTAATTGTGCTTTCAAGGCAGGTGGTGGAACCACTGAGCTAAATCCCCAGCAACTGCATTATTTTTATCAGCAGAATTTATTAGTGTATTTTAACAAACAACCCCAGGTGTGAAGGGGACTATACAAATCTGAAACATGTACAGTTTATTCTTGGACACCAGGAGAATGAAGGTCCCATAACGACCTTTTCATCAGTGACGGTCCCCACATACAACAGGGTCCCAGAAGGCTGTCTCCACTCACACCAGTTAGCTGTGTGCAAGGACACTCTTACAATGTTCACACAATGAGGACATCGCCCAAGGGTGCCATTTCCAGAATGCAGCCTCATCTCCAAGAAACACTGGAGTGTGTGTTTTCAGTTTTAACTAAAACCTCATTTATTTCCTCTTCATGGTTCCTCCTCTTTTAAGTTGCCATCAAACAAAAACCCTACCCACCTAAAAATTGATAGCTTTAAAAGTAATTCCTCTTAGAGATATATTATCTTTAAATACAATCACTTATATCTATTTGCTCATTTAGAAGTTCAATGCGTTATCCATTGCATAATGGAGCTACTACCTATGTAACTGTTCATTTAATACAATCAGTTCTGGCTGTAATTTTTTTTTTTTTGGGTACCGGGGATCGAACTCAGCTCCTTGTGCTTGCAAGGCAAAGGCAGGCCACCGAACTGCTGAACTAAATCCCCGGCCCTATGGCTGTAATTTTTTAACAACTTTTTCCTGGGAAATAGGTCTATTTTCTCTTGGATCTCTACTGTGGATCCACTAACTTCACTCTCCTTTGGAAAAGATGAGGAAGAGCTGACGGAAGGATCAGAGAGTTAGACAGAACCCGACTGACTTACTGATTTCACGCATGCTTTTACAGAGCTGCATAGTGCTTCACTCCTATCATTTGATGTAGTTACTGTATGGATAGCTATTTCATTTCCATTGTTTTTGCAGTTATAAACACTATTACAAATAATACATACTTCTGCACATGTAAATCCTAAGAAATGACACTGTTGGGTTCAAGGGTGTGCACAAACTGTGATGCTCCCAATTTACCTGTTTAAGTGACAATACCAATTTAATTTATCCTACCACCAGCCTTGTCCTTGATATTCTCAGGATATATCAATTACATGGACAATAAATTATCTCTTCCTGACAGTGCTGAAAACACTTCATTTTCATCCCCAATACTTACCCATGGGCTCCTTAATAACGCCGTAATAATCTGGTGCGTCATTAGGGTCTACTGGCTCAAGGAAAGGCCAGGCCATCTTATGGGCCTATAATGAAGAACAAGTACCATTATTATTATTATGTTAGGTGGAAATACTACTTCTAGTTCAGTTCTCAATTGAGTTATCATATCAATAAACTCTTAAATTCCAAGTCAGTTTTACAGAGGTGAGATTCTTTTTTTTTTTTTTGGTACTGGGATCAAACTCGGGTCCTTGCACTTGCGAGGCAGGCGGCAGAACCACTGAGCTACATCCCTGGCTGAGATTCTTTTTTTTAAATCATTTCAATCTTACGTTTATTCTCTTGTGGAATGCTGTTATTATTACCATATGGTTGTCTAAGCTACTGAAATGTGACAAATGTCCACGTCTAAGTACTGCAGAACAGCATAACTATAAAGATTTCAAGGAAATAATTGAAATGTCTCACTGTACAGCTGAGGTCTGATGCTTTTTAAACTGATGCCTATGTGTATGGCCAGCCACAAACCTAGGGGAAGCTTATTATCTGTACGCTTATATACAAATATATCCCACATGTGTGTACGCACAAGCATGTATTCATTTATGTGAAAATTATAAAATTACACATACATACATGTACACGCTCATCTATACCCACCCTCACCATTGAGATCACTTTTGCAGCAGTAATTAATCAGCTTCATCCCCAATTATCACTGCTGTCCTATATAACTACATGATTTTCATACCAAGACGAGACACATTTTGGGTGCAGGATAGATGTTTGTGCATACAGATATATGTACTCATATATGTTTGTGTTTATAAAGGAACTATTTCTCCCATTACGCTTCTCATGCATTATTCCAATAAACAGTCTTCTCACCATAGTTTTGGAATTCTAAATCTATGTTTGGAAAACTGTTTTCAAAATTACAAAATGTATGTATGATCAAAGCCTACTGAATACATCTGTTCTTTAAATCTGGGTATATCCTAGCCAACAGACAAATTCTTCTCAGTGGCAACCACACCTGCGTCACAACTGCAAGGTCCTGAGTTCAATCCTTGGTACAAAAAAAAAGCAAAACACCCTCTTAATAGGATGTTATGGTAACGTTAACTCTACCGGTACCTGTCCTGTACTTAGAATAGCTAATATTATATCTTAACAGTTGACAAAATGATGTTAAAGACTTGAAAATCACTATGCATCTGCATTAAATATATAAAGGTTTTCACTAAGGGCCCGGTCCAGTTCACTGCCTAACATTTTTATGTTCCAAGACTAGTATCTTAGTCATTATTCTTATAGTCTTAAAGAGAGATGAAATGCTTTATATGAGATGATTTCTTTTCAAGCTCAGGACCTGGTACTTGTGAGGCAGGTGGTGGCACCACTGAGCTAGATCCCCGGCCATGTATGAGACAATTTCTGCTCTGATCACAGATCACATAAGATGAGCTCACCCTATGACAATGGTTCTCTAAGGCTGAAGACCATGGTGTGAGGTGTGCAGCCCTAGCTTAAGAGTCATGACAGCTGCACTCTGCTCCTCCACGATGACCTGCCTCACTTCTGTAGCTGGGCAGGCAGGTTCCAAGTGTGGAGTGGTTACCACGCTTAGGTAATGAGGTGGCAGGAATGTGATGTTAAACAACATTCAGCCAAATATTCAGATTCTGATTCTCTTCTCAGCTCTTCCAATTCTGTGATTTTGATTAAGACAGGAGAAAAGTTGCAGCTGAGTGCTCGTCCCGATTCTTTCTCTAACATTCCCCAATCTTGCAAACCATGTGCAACTATTTTTTATTTCTAATATAGAAGGGAATAACTAGGCTTTGATCATACTGTTGCTCAATCTATGGCCATGAGATAAAATCTTTAGAAACTTAAGTTTAAAAGAAAAGTGAGCCAGGCATGGTGGCGCATGCCTGTAATCCCAGCACTCGGGAGGGTGAGGCAGGAGGATCGCTGTGAGTCCGAGACCAGCCCGGGCTACATAGTGAGACCCTGTCTCAAAACCAAACAAACAAACAAAACAACAACAACAAAAAAGTGAGTCCTTTAACTGTTAACTGTCAGATGAACAGAATAAGTAGTGTGTGGAAACGCCATACTTCATGCCACTGGCATGTGAAAGGCTGACGTTTGTCAAGTCCTTCATCTCAAAAGCTGGAGTCAGCCAAGAACCAGATACTCAAAGAAGGGAAGTGCAAATCTTGGGGGTGTTTTCCAAAGTCGTGCAGGTTAATTTCACTTTCATACGACACAGTGGGCTCTCACCTGTAAGGAACGCAGCACCCTCTTCAAGCCCTCGTAATCTTTCTCTGTCAGTGGCGTGAGCACTGTCATGGCATCCTCTGTGGACTGGCACTGTGGACAGACATACTCATCAATGAGCTCTGCCTCACTCTGCAAGATGCCAACACAGCGCCCATGGTACCAATTCTGACACCGATCACAGCCAATATAAAATCTGTAAGATCCGAAATGGAAATGTGAATCCAAAACAGATGAGGTAATATCACTTATAATTTGCTTTAAGTAAAACATGCAACTAAAAATTTGCTAAAGCTGGGATGTAAAAGTTTTATTATTTTGGTTGTTTTAATACTTTTAAGATTGACATTCCAATGTGTTAATTTAGCATTTCTGATATTAAGAAGAAGCAGTAGAAATTTAAGAGTACTGTGTAATATTGGAAAACCAATTTGAAAATGTAAAACGTTTATTTGATTTTAAAGCTCAAAACAAAATGAAGCCAAAAATCTTTCAACTAGTACCATATCAAATGGGAGCTCAAAATCCTTTAAGCTAATAACAGTCCCAGAGCTTGTACCAAAATTAGTGTTTTTCTAACCTACAATAGAGCACTATTTCAAACACTGATAACACTGATAAAGTCCAAATGAGTGAGGCTATTTTAATCTCATTAATTTCTATGTTAAAATACTGAAGAATCAAATCTACCGTAAACCATATTTCCCCCCAGTGCATCTCAAGCATTCACTATGAAGCAACATAAATTTTGAAGGGGAGGTAAAGAGGGAAAAAGAGAAAAAAATGGAAAGGAATTTGTAATGTAAGTGTATAATATATGCAGAAAAATATCTTTCTTTTTATTTTAAAATAACCAGTCAGAGCAATTTGGCTTCCTACATTATTAAATATGATGCTCTTATCAGAACTCACTGTGACTCATCATAAGGTGTTCTGCAGATACAGTACAATTCCTCACTGCTGCCCTCTTGTGCCCGTTTACAATCATTACAGATGTACACATCCATTTTCTTAGCCTCCTTTTCTGTGATGCCAACACATTCTCCATGATACCAGTTAGTACAAAGATCACAGCCAATATAGAACCTAAAAGTATTCACAATGAAAATGACAATGTAATTGTCATTTTGAGCTGCACGGTACTTACATCTGTCTTTCCTGCCCTGATTCACAAGTAACTTTCTGCAATGAGTCAGCTAAACATCCTGAATCCAACCATGCTACTCCTGACAAACTACAGCATCTGATACTGTATCAAGTGTGGAAACATAAAGTCACTCACATCAATTTCAACAAATACACTGTTTAGTGAAATATGGATCTTTAAAAACATACTAGAATTTGAGAAAATAAACAACACACTGATGGTGATGTCTTCCTCTTAATGAATGTGTGCAAAACTATAACAGGCACAAAAACCAAAGCCAAAGAATCAAAGACTTACATCTGTCAAACCTATTCCACAGAAGCCATTTCAATATCAGGGCTATTTCTTAAGATAGGTTTGAAAATGTATCTCACAATTTAAATTTGAAAACAAAGCAAAGCACAAACACCGAATAGAAGTTAACACTACAAGAAACATGCAGGTCAGCCAGGTGCAGGAGATAAATGGTCAAAATATGATATGAAGAAGAAAACTAAGGAAAGTACATGTAGTAATTCAATCTCTGCCAAGCTTTCTAAATAGACATTGGAATTTAATCCTATTAAGACCCTCTCTCATGATGATTAAAACATGGGCCAATTTTTCAGTTCATAGAACATGTGTGGACAATGTGGAAAGTAGCCTGGTTGATTAACTAGAATCCTAAAGGAACTGCTTTGGTTCAAAACTAGATATACATGGTAGGGACAAAAACGTAAGGACAGTAATCTAAAACCCTGAAAGGTTCTGTATGTAGCAGCTAGCAAATGTGAGTGTGTGATTCCAAGTATCAGCAGTGTGGGTGTGTGATGGTAGGCAACCTAGAGCCTTTTGTAATACAGGCCCCCTAAAGGCAAAATCAGAAGCATCTCTGTTAATGAGTGTAGTGTATCTAAAAGCGCTGATACACAACGCATAGAAATGCCACGTCAGTCCCTGGGAGAGTTAATGTGAATCTCAAGGAAACCTGGATTTTTGGATGCTACTGGCACTTTGTCCTAGTGACATGTTTCTTGGTAGATTTGCCTAGAACAGTGATGGCGAACCTCTTAAGAGCTTTCAATAACAGCCAGCCAGCTGCAGCACATGTGCCAGAGGTTGGCCGCCACTGACCCAGAGCATTGCAAGTTGTCCTCATGCTACAGACTGACCTGCGTCATCAGTGTGAGGGAGCAATACATGGTCTGTACTTTAACATATTACCAGTCAATGGCTGTCACACAGGATTTCCTGTCAGGTGGGGACCTTCTGAGGTACTTTTGTACGCTGCCTCTTCTGGGTGGTGGGGTATATGTCCTGGAAGTAAGTGCAGCACTTGCATTGAATTCTGAGTCACTCTTAACTAGATTCCCAAACTGGGCTGGTTTGGTATGAGAGATTATAAAATATTCCTAAAAATACTAACTCCTTCCAAGTAGAATAAAAAGTAAATGAATCTGATATACTGAAAGGTTAATAATGGCAAACTGAAAAATATGAAATATCTACAAATTAATGAGGCAATCTCAATACAATGAGAAAAAGTACAGGTGTACCTCATTTTACAAAACTTTGATATTCTAAAGAAGTTCTGTGTGAAATTAATTTCTGTGATTTGAATGAATACTTTCAAAGGCCAAAGAAGCCTTATTATGCAAAGAAATTCAACAAGCAGTTCTTTTCATTTTATTTATTTATTTATTTATTTATTTATTTATTTAT